AGATGTGTTGTTGGCTGCTCATCTTGAGTAGTTTTATCCCAATTTTGGCTTTTGATTTAGCATTCTGGACAGGGGTACATCATCATGCAGAACAGGAGAGGTGATAGTGAATCTCCTAATTATTATTATTATTCTTATGATTATTATTATTATATTATAAATATTATTATTCTTATAGTTATTCTATTATTATTATAATTATTATTATTATTAGTATGATTGTTATAATTTATTGTATTATTATTATTATTATTATTATTATTATTATTATTATATTTATTATTATTCTGATTATTAATATTATTATTATTATATTTTAGTATTATAGCAGCTTATTATATTATTATTAATAATACTAATAATTATTATTTTTAATTATTATTATTGTTATTATTGATTGTTATAATTTATTATTCTTATGCTTATTATATTATTTACCTTATTTTATTTTTAGTCTTTTTTTTTAATTATAATTCTATTAGTATTAGTAGATCTTTTTAAATCATATATTTTTCCTGTGCAAGCTCCACTACTTTGTAAGGATCCTTTCTTTTAGCTGTCCTTACAACCGTATACCACTGATCTGTGTGTATATAGGTATATTCGAGCAGCTCTTTCTATTACGCTATGTACGCAATCGCCTTCACTTTGAGTGTGGCCTTTTTCTAAGTAGTTGTTTTATTTTTATTTGATATTTTTGCGATAAATAGCTGTACAAAGAGTACAAAAATCTGTTGCGGTTTGACCGCTACAGTTGTCAGAAAGAAGCTAAATTCTCTTATTCCTTGTTCTACTTGGCTGATAATGTACAAAAGTAAACAACTTCCAATCTCAGAGGCACCTCTGTTTCCGACTACCTCATTCCACATGTAACAATTGCACTCTTTTGTTGCTAGGTTGTACACAGTAAAGTTGTAAGTTGATAATTTTAATTTGTAATAGGACAGGCCAACATTAGATTTGGGAACTGGCAACACTTGTTGCAAGTCAAAGACAGCGCAACAACCTCACTGCTACTCAGCTGCTCTTGTTTCTCAAACTGTTTGATTTCTCTTGCCCTATTTTTATTTAGGATATGGATGCGATAATCTTCTTCCAACTCTAATTTTTCTTCAAGAGAACTATTATCGTAGTTGTGGCAAATATCGCAGAGATCCTTTTTGGGCTGAAAGAAGGATAGATTAAAATCTCTATTGAAGATTGTTCTATACATTGCTTCAGTTACTGTTTTCCTAATATTCTTTTCCTGACAATACTCCAGGTACATGGTATACATCTTGCTTACGTTAAGTGTTGGGGGTAAATATTTACGACTGGTCTTTTGTCTGCAGTAATGACTTTCAATTGTTTCAAATAGTTTTGTGATCCCTAACATTTTGTTTAGTAGACTCGTCAATAAGAGTGTTTTTGCAAGCTTTTCCTCGTCTATCTTCGGAAACAATACCTGAAGTTCCAGTTTTGTTCATAACGGTTTTGACTACCTGTGCACTGATTGACAGTGTATTTAGAAAAAAAGTTTTACATATTTGCACCTTATTGTTTTCATTTTTGGGAAGAGAGTATGTAAAAGTACTGTTTCTTCTACTGTTTTTATCATTAGACAGTTCTAAGAATGTATTGTCATTCTTTTCTGGTAATCAGCGGGATGATGCTTATTCTTTTACGAATTCTAGTTCTAGCTTTAGAAACTACTGTAACATATTTGGATATAAAATCACGTTGGCGGTTGACATCTCCTAATCCCCAATATTCAGTAAATATTTTATGTCTTTCTTCTTCACTCATTTTATTTAGACACTTCATTCTACATTTCTCTTCACATGATGTTTTCATTTTTCTTGCTAATTGTTTTTTTCCTTTCCAGTTGGTGTATTTCTTTCCTTGATTTCTCGATGACTTAATTATGTTTCTTTTCCAAGTATGTTCTCTTCTTAGCTTTTTTTAGATATTTTTCTAGCATTTTTATTCTTTTCATCTGTGTTAGAACTTGTATCAGTTTCTTGATAATTGTTTTCAAAATTAAAGTTTTTTCTCTTCTTTTTGCTTTCTTGTGGATTAAAATTAGGGTCGTTTTCTTCATCATCATTTGGAAAGGATCCGTGTCCGATGATAAACAGATCCTCTTCGACAATATTTTTCCGTTTGCCACATTTTTCAGGGTCCAATTGGTCAGTTTCTATTACATCTAGAACAAAAAGTCTCAGTAAGAATTTATAACAAAATACCTACTTTTAAAATTGACAACGAAAATAAAAACCAAATCATTTATGAGACCAAAATTACTTACACAAACATTAAAATAAATAAATGATTATTTTTTTAAACAGACCGGAGGTACTCACTTTCTAGACCCCAAGGATAACTAAATATTGTTGTTGAAAAGCCTCAAAAGCCTATTGTTTTTTTAGCCTTAAAACTGTTATCAACAAAACCGGAGATTTAGATATTATTTTTGAGGATACAAGTATACACACCTTATAAAACACTCTTATTATTCTATCTCTATCTAAAAAATGGGCCACATACATTTATTTGACTGAAACTCAGTATGCTTGGCCAATAATCCTATCCTAAGCAAGATGTATACCATGTACCTTGAGTATAATTGCTTGTTTACTGGTAAAGTGTTTGATTTTTAATATTACTAATTCTTTTACTCGTTAGTTTGCTTACCTATGATTTTTTCGAGAACACTTCTTACTTCTTCACTAGCATTTGCGTCTCCTTTATCGGCCACAATCGGTGTAACTTTATTGGATTCAATACTCAAAACTGATTTTATATTTTCGAGGTTCATACTGCAAAATGCATTATCGCTCTTGTTAAAAGCAGCCGTTTCCTTAGAGAGTAAATAACCAGGCGGCATAAGATTTGCTGTATTCATCAAATATTGGGCGTCTATTTTTTCTGGTCTTGCAGATACTGTTAGTTTGTCATGATTGGTATCTATAAAAAAATAAAGTAAACATTATTCAGTACAGAGTTTTATGAGTGTAGATCGTATTATTTGTTTTTTTATTTATACAATTAAAAAAATAAATAGAATTTATCCTGAACCAGTAGCTAAAAACGTATTTCCAATGTTAACGTGTTACTTAAGAATATTTGTATAGCTAGAAAAGCACTACTTACCATCACAGTGCCTGGCCAGAAGATCAAAAATTTTTTTCCTTCTAGAACTCATATTTAATTTGTTTACGTTGCGCAAACTCGATCACTATACACTAAGAACTGCTTTAAACTGAGGTAATCTGCGTTATTCGTGTACGGTGGCGCCTTGAAATGCCTAGATTCTAACAAGTCGAAACCAGTACAGTGCAGAACTAGTTTATGTCCACTAAAAGATGTGAGGGTTTATTAAAATTATAGATCAGAATAAGCCTAAGTCCACATTTTCTTGGACATAAAATTTTGTTTCAAAGTAGAACTAGCTTAAGTCCACACAATTCACTAGTATAGGTAATCTGTCCCAACAAAGGATACTTCTGCATTAAAAATTATTTACCCAAATATGGACATAGAATTTCGTTCTAAAAAAGGATAGTTCTGCACTAACAATTATTTTGCTTCAGGACATAGGCTATTCTTAATTTAATGAGTACGTGAAAAATATAAACGTTAGGACTTAGATTAGTACTGCACTTGATAGGCGACACCTTACTGCATCATATAGTCTAAAATCTCAATTTTGACAAAAATGGACATAGGCTAGTTCTGATCTAAAGGGACGAAATATATTGAGAAACTAAATCTGCCGCAGAAACTATACCTCTCACTTCAGAAAGCTGCTATCTTAGGTAGTTGTCATATAGCACGCAAGGTCCTGAATGTAGCCACATAGACAAAGAGAAACCAATAGTCACACTCAGACGCTTGCAGTATAATGCCGCGTTTGAGGATACCACCTGCAATAGCAGAGAATAGCTAACAGAAAACGGAATAATATAATAATAATTATAATAATAATAATTATAATATAATAATAATAATAGTTATAATAATAATTATAATTATAATAATAATAATAATAATTAAATAATCATAATAATAATAATAATAATAATAATAATATGAAGTTGATAATATTTAATATATAAATAATAATGATATAGTTATAATAATAATAATTATATATTAATAATAATCATAATAATAATATATATTACATATCTGGTTGCTCTAAGATTGATTATTATTATTATTATTATTATATTATGATTATTATTATTATTATGATTATTATATAACTATTATTATTATAATAACTCTTATTATTATATTATTTATATTATAATTATTATATTATTATATAATTAATATTATTATTATAATTCTTATTATTTTATTATTTATTTAAATTTATTATTCTTATTATATATTATTATTATTATTATAACTATTATTATTATTCCGTTTTCTGTTAGCTATTCTCTGCTACTGCAGGTGGTATCCTCAAACGCGGCATTATACTGCAAGCGTCTGAGTTGTGACTATTGGTTTCTCTTTGTCTATGTGGCTACATTCAGGACCTTGCGTGCTATATGACAACTACCTAAGATAGCAGCTTTCTGAAGTGAGAGGTATAGTTTCTGCGGCAGATTTAGTTTCTCAATATATTTCGTCCCTTTAGATCAGAACTAGCCTATGTCCATTTTTGTCAAAATTGAGATTTTAGACTATATGATGCAGTAAGGTGTCGCCTATCAAGTGCAGTACTAATCTAAGTCCTAACGTTTATATTTTTCACGTACTCATTAAATTAAGAATAAGCCTATGTCCTGAAGCAAAATAATTGTTAGTGCAGAACTATCCTTTTTTAGAACAGAAATTCTATGTCCATATTTGGGTAAATAATTTTTAATGCAGAAGTATCCTTTGTTGGGACAGATTACCTATACTAGTGAATTGTGTGGACTTAAGCTAGTTCTACTTTGAAACAAAATTTTATGTCCAAGAAAATGTGGACTTAGGCTTATTCTGATCTATAATTTTAATAAACCCTCACATCTTTTAGTGGACATAAACTAGTTCTGCACTGTACTGGTTTCGACTTGTTAGAAATCTAGGCATTTCAAGGCGCCACCGTACACGAATAACGCAGATTACCTCAGTTTAAAGCAGTTCTTAGTGTATAGTGATCGAGTTTGCGCAACGTAAACAAATTAAATATGAGTTCTAGAAGGAAAAAAATTTTTGATCTTCTGGCCAGGCACTGTGATGGTAAGTAGTGCTTTTCTAGCTATACAAATATTCTTAAGTAACACGTTAACATTGGAAATACGTTTTTAGCTACTGGTTCAGGATAAATTCTATTTATTTTTTTAATTGTATAAATAAAAAAACAAATAATACGATCTACACTCATAAAACTCTGTACTGAATAATGTTTACTTTATTTTTTTATAGATACCAATCATGACAAACTAACAGTATCTGCAAGACCAGAAAAAATAGACGCCCAATATTTGATGAATACAGCAAATCTTATGCCGCCTGGTTATTTACTCTCTAAGGAAACGGCTGCTTTTAACAAGAGCGATAATGCATTTTGCAGTATGAACCTCGAAAATATAAAATCAGTTTTGAGTATTGAATCCAATAAAGTTACACCGATTGTGGCCGATAAAGGAGACGCAAATGCTAGTGAAGAAGTAAGAAGTGTTCTCGAAAAAATCATAGGTAAGCAAACTAACGAGTAAAAAGAATTAGTAATATTAAAAATCAAACACTTTACCAGTAAACAAGCAATTATACTCAAGGTACATGGTATACATCTTGCTTAGGATAGGATTATTGGCCAAGCATACTGAGTTTCAGTCAAATAAATGTATGTGGCCCATTTTTTAATAGAAGATAGAATAATAAGAGTGTTTTATAAGGTGTGTATACTTGTATCCTCAAAAAAATATCTAAATCTCCGGTTTTGTTGATAACAGTTTTAAGGCTAAAAAAACAATAGGCTTTTGAGGCTTTTCAACAACAATATTTAGTTATCCTTGGGGTCTAGAAAGTGAGTACCTCCGGTCTGTTTAAAAAAATAATCATTTATTTATTTTTAATGTTTGTGTAAGTAATTTTGGTCTCATAAATGATTTGGTTTTTATTTTCGTTGTCAATTTTAAAAGTAGGTATTTTGTTATAAATTTCTTACTGAGACTTTTTGTTCTAGATGTAATAGAAACTGACCAATTGGACCCTGAAAAATGTGGCAAACGGAAAAATATTGTCGAAGAGGATCTGTATTTATCATCGGACACGGATCCTTTCCAAACTGATGATGAAGAAAACGACCCTAATTTTAATCCACAAGAAAGCAAAAAGAAGAGAAAAAACTTTAATTTTGAAAACAATTATCAAGAAACTGATACAAGTTCTAACACAGATGAAAAGAATAAAAATGCTAGAAAAATATCTAAAAAAAAGCTAAGAAGAGAACATACTTGGAAAAGAAACATAATTAAGTCATCGAGAAATCAAGGAAAGAAATACACCAACTGGAAAGGAAAAAAACAATTAGCAAGAAAAATGAAAACATCATGTGAAGAGAAATGTAGAATGAAGTGTCTAAATAAAATGAGTGAAGAAGAAAGACATAAAATATTTACTGAATATTGGGGATTAGGAGATGTCAACCGCCAACGTGATTTTATCCAAATATGTTACAGTAGTTTCTAAAGCTAGAACTAGAATTCGTAAAAAGAATAAGCATCATCCCGCTGAATTACCAGAAAAGAATGACAATACATTCTTAGAACTGTCTAATGATAAAAACAGTAGAAGAAACAGTACTTTTACATACTCTCTTCCCAAAAATGAAAACAATAAGGTGCAAATATGTAAAACTTTTTTTCTAAATACACTGTCAATCAGTGCACAGGTAGTCAAAACCGTTATGAACAAAACTGGAACTTCAGGTATTGTTTCCGAAGATAGACGAGGAAAAGCTTGCAAAAACACTCTTATTGACGAGTCTACTAAACAAAATGTTAGGGATCACATAAACTTATTTGAAACAATTGAAAGTCATTACTGCAGACAAAAGACCAGTCGTAAATATTTACCCCCAACACTTAACGTAAGCAAGATGTATACCATGTACCTGGAGTATTGTCAGGAAAAGAATATTAGGAAAACAGTAACTGAAGCAATGTATAGAACAATCTTCAATAGAGATTTTAATCTATCCTTCTTTCAGCCCAAAAAGGATCTCTGCGATATTTGCCACAACTACGATAATAGTTCTCTTGAAGAAAAATTAGAGTTGGAAGAAGATTATCGCATCCATATCCTAAATAAAAATAGGGCAAGAGAAATCAAACAGTTTGAGAAACAAAGAGCAGCTGAGAATAGCAGTGAGGTTTGTTGCGCTGTCTTTGACTTGCAACAAGTGTTGCCAGTTCCCAAATCTAATGTTGGCCTGTCCTATTACAAATTAAAATTATCAACTTACAACTTTACTGTGTACAACCTAGCAACAAAAGAGTGCAATTGTTACATGTGGAATGAGGTAGTCGGAAACAGAGGTGCCTCTGAGATTGGAAGTTGTTTACTTTTGTACATTATCAGCCAAGTAGAACAAGGAATAAGAGAATTTAGCTTCTTTTCTGACAACTGTAGCGGTCAAAACCGCAACAGATTTTGTACTCTTTGTACAGCTATTTATCGCAAAAATATCAAATAAAAAAAACATACCTACTTAGAAAAAGGCCACACTCAAAGTGAAGGCGATTGCGTACATAGCGTAATAGAAAGAGCTGCTCGAAATATACCTATACACACCAGATCAGTGGTATACGGTTGTAAGGACAGCTAAAAGAAAGGATCCTTACAAAGTAGTTGAGCTTGCACAGGAAATATATGATTAAAAGATCTTGAAAAAAAGACGTGTATAACTGGGAAAGAGATGAAGAAAACGAAAGAGTGTTTTTAAATAAAATAAAAATAGTTGAAGCTGATCCACGTTTCCCTAACACTTTACTTTTTAAAGTTAATTACGACTCTACCTACAAGAAATTAAAGCTCACAGAAAAAGGAAGAAAAAAAATAGATGTCGAGATAGCCTCACTAAAACTAAAACCATGCTACGAAAAGGAAATTTCTTTGAAAAAACTGAAGTATGATCATCTTCAGTTTCTTTGCCGTAAAGGAGCAATTTTAGCGCCTTACCATAGTTACTTTAAAAATTTACCATTTTCCAACAAAACGAACTTTCAAGATTCCGATAGTGATGAATAGTCTAAGATGTTTTTTATTTGTGTAGAAATTTAGGGTCAGTTACTTAAGAAATATTTTTCATTTGTTTTAAAACATGTTATTTTAATTATTTAAAAAATTAATATTTTTTATTTTTTAGAAACTCAAGCTCAGTTCCATTTGTTAAGGAATTTGGGCTCAGCTACTACTTAAGTTTTAAGTATTTTATTTCTATTACTTACTAACTGTGTATTAATAAAAATTATTCTAATAAATTTTATTAGATGAACATTTGTGTTTTTATAGAAAAAAGTCAATAAATCAGTTTTCACAAAAATTTTGAAGCAGTAATAGATAATTTTTACGTTATTATCGTAGCAGGTTTTGTAAAAAAGTCATAAAATTAACCAATGACTATATTATGTCCATAAACATACAATAAGCCTAAGTCCAAGAAGTGGACTTGGTATACTTGCTAACATTAAAAGTAATCTATGTCCAACTTTTTGCTTTAACGTTAATGTTTTTCGTTTTTACTAAGGTATATTAAAAACAGACATTTTTAGAACATGTGTACAAATTTTCATTAAAATATCTGTATAAATAAAGAATCTATTAAAAAAAAACCGTTTCCTGAAAACTTTGCTTTTTGGACTTAGGCTAGTTCTATTCTAAGGGACGATTTATGTAGACTCTTAAGTATTTCTCCTGTGGCTCCGATCACTATTGGGATGACTTCAACTTTTCTTGATTCCACAGTGTTTTTTACTTCTGCAGCTAGTGGTAAGTACTTGCGAACCTTTTCTGTCTGCTTCTCAGCTATGTTATGTGGGGCAGGCACACTAATGTCAATTATGCAGGTAACTTGCTTCATTTTATCTTGAACTACGATATCTGGTTTGTTGTATTCCATGGTGTGATCTGTTTGAATTGTTCTATTCCAGTATATTTTATGGCTGTTAGTTTCTATAACTGGAGTCGGCTGGTACTTGTAATATGGGGTGCGGTCAGTTAGTATGTTCGCAGCATAACAAATTTCTTGGTGAACTATTTTAGCCACGTTGTCGTGGCGCTTCAGATATCAGTGGAAGCTAGGGGAGTGCAGCTCGTCAGGATATGCTCTATTGTTTCCGACTTGTTATGGCATATACGACATCTATCTTCAATGCCTTCTTCTTTCATGATGTATTTTCTATAGTTTAAGGTTGGTATCACCTGATCTTGAATGCCAATCATGAAACCTTCAGTTTCCGAAAATAGCTCCCCACTCTTCAGCCATCCATGTGACGCTTCTGCATCAATGTGATCTGAGCTGAGCATGGCTGGATGTCTTCCATGAAGCTGTTTGGACTTCCATTGATGATACCATTGTTCGTCGGTGGTCACATGGGTTAGAGGTTCATACTGTTCATCCGACAGGTTCAGTGGTGTGAACTTGTAGTCAGCTGAAGCTATATTTCTGTGATATGCAGATGTTTCGCCTTTCTATAAAAGAATCTCCTGAGGTTTTCTATATTCCGCAGGTTAGCTGCTTTAAGGTCAATCACGCCTCGTCCCCCTTTGGATCTTGGCAAGTAGAATCTTTCGATCGAACTCTTGGGATGTCTTGCTCTATGATTTGTAAATAAGACTCTTATGTTTCTGTTTAGCTGCTCTAAGTCAGAGTCTGTCCACTTGATTATTCCGAAGCTATATGTTATTGTCGGAATAGCATATGTGTTAATGGCCCTTACTTTGTGTATTGCGGACAGATGAGTCTTAAGTATTGATTTGACCCTACTCGTTAATCTTTGCTTTAGAGCTTCTTTCATATCTTTGTGTTTGATACCCCTTGCTTGATCTAGTCCCAAATATGTATAGCTCTCTTTCTCAGACATGCTTCTTATTGTCTGACCCTGCTCCAACATAAACCCTGGGTGATCTTCCCATATGCCTTTTCTAATAGCCCCAATCTTACACTTGTCCAGGCCAAACTCCATTCTTGTGTCAGCACTGTATTTCTTTATGGTTTTAAGCAACCTGTCCAGTCCATCCTTAGTGGCAGATATTAGTTTGATGTCATCCATGTAAGCTAGATGGCTTATTTGTAGGTTGTTCTGAAGCTTATAACCTTCGTTCTTCTTGTGCAGCATTCTAGATAGAGGTGCTAATACAATACAGTACCATAAAGCACTTAGTGCATCTCCCTGGAAGATACCTCTTTTAATGCTGATGGCACCGATGTTGATATTTTCTTCTTTATGGGTTATTACAAGATTAGTTTTCCATTGAGGCATAAGGTTTTGCAGCAATCTCACTATACTAGGGCTGATTTTATATATTTGGAGCATTTCAATTAATAGAGAGTGAGGAACACTGTCAAAGGCCTTTTTATAGTCAATGTATGCAACATACAGATCTTTCTTACAGCCCTTTGCTTCCTCCGTGATGATTGTATCTATTGTAAGTTGCTCTTTGCAGCCACGACTTCCCTTTTTGCAGCCTTTCTGTTCTTCTGGGAGCAGATGATGCCTTTCAAGGTGCTGGTAAATTTGATCGCATAAAATTGAAGTAATTATTTTATATATGGTTGGAAGACACGTAATTGGCCTGTATTTTGATGGGTCGCTCACAGAAGGGAATGTTTTAGGAAGCAAGTAGGTGTTTCCCGTTGTCAGAAATGCTGGAATGGATTCTGGATCTTGCAAGAGGCTTGTGCAAATCATCGCTAACGTTTCGTGTGTGCAAGTGAACTTTTTGAGCCAATAGTTATGGATGCCATCAGGTCCAGGCGCCTTCCAGTTCTGTGTTGTTTATAGATCTTTTAACATCCTCCACAGTTATGACGTTGTAGTGCATCATGGGTATTTTTTCGGTTTTCCTCTTTTCGTCCGCGAGCCAACTTGTTTTATTATTAGAGTCTTAGGGTTCTCCCATAGGTCAGCCCAATATGTTAATGCATCTCTAGCTTCTGGAGTTTTACCCGTAGTACTTACATCTTCGTTTTCCAGTGAGCGATAGAACCTCTTTTGATTCGTTCGAAATATGCTATTTTGTAGTTTTCTTTGATGCGACTCTTTATATCGCTTTAGGCGATTTGCGTATACAGACAACCTTTGTTGGAGCTTATCGAGGATCTGTATCGGATTTTGATTATCCTCATCATGATGTCTCTGGGTTATTGTTGTGACTTTATTTCGCAACCGGTTGGACGGGGCATCTGACTTGATGTACTGAACAAGGGGGCCTATAGCTGCTCGTAGATCTTTTATTTTCCCTTCGATCCTCATCTGCCATCTGGGTTTTTGTTCAGTATGCTTGTATGATTGCTTTATCTTTTGATGGTGCAGTTCAATCACAGTATAAGCGCCGGCATAGATTAGGTCATGATAATCAGTTATACCGGTTATGTCACACAACTTGGTCGTCATGAGATGATTTACTCTATTCAAGATATGAACAGTATTCTTATTTGTTCTCAACCGAGGCAGTCTTGGTCTCAG